TCCCCTCCAAATCACCTATCCCGCATCCTCCTCTTCTTTTTTACCTCTTTAAATCAGGCTTTTCAGCTCTGTTTCGATCTTTACCTTTATTTACGCTATCGTTTCCTTATTTGTGCATTACTCTTTCCTTTTTAATCTCCCCAATCTTGCCTTGTTTTCTTTTCCTCCCCCTTTTCTATCCCTCATTTCTTACTGACATCATTCCTTGCCTGTGTTGTAATGCGTAATGTTCTAAAGTTGGCTCGGCCCATGGCAGACTGCTGCCGATACAGACTGATTAGCTATAAATCTTGCCTCAGTGACCAGTTACCTTACAGAGATCAGACAGACAGAAAGACACACATGAGAGGAGGCTGAGCGAGTGTGTTTGTGTTATGCTGTGTGTGGGTACAGCCAACCTAGATCTGTCCGACTTACCGAGCCTTATTAATACAGCAATGACTGATACTCTCACTTTCAATCCATCGTGCACCCAGTTTAAATATTAAGCTATAACCAAAAGCCAGGCCGATGACCTGAGCTTTTCCTGTTCTCGAGCCTGTTTGAATGGGAAACACTTGTGCTCATAATCTTTTGACTAATCCCACAGGAATGTGTCAGTGTGTTTGCGTTTGTGTGTCTTTACTCTCTTTGCTCTTCTTTCACCTGCTAGCGCACAATCAGCTCTGTCAACATCATTAGCTGAGGCGGTTTTCACATCAAAGTTAACAACAAGCTAACATTTTGTACATCGAGAGAGTTTAACCGGACATTATTGGGACTATTGCTTAAAGATGTTTGATGTGTTGCTGGTTGTTTTATGAGATTTTGCGAGTTAAATTATTAATTCATCTATCTAAATGAGTAAGGGGTCCATAAATATTCCTGATCTCTGAAATATTCTCTAATTCATTAAAATGCTCAATTTGAAATGTGAAGTGTCTGACACATCTTTGGATAGTGGGAGGAAGGTGGAGTCTTCAGAGGGAAACCCCTGTGAAAATGGGAAGAGTGTCCAAACTTCACACAGAAATGGCCAGCACTCAAATTATGTGCAATTGGAGATTGACCTATATGGAAGATTTCCCTAAGTAGCTCTGCAAAATCACAAGAATGCACAAAACACCCAGCCCTTTTCATAAACCTTTAAACACTAGTGCAGATTATATTTGGCTCCTGCCTCTTAATTTTGGAACATAATTGATTTATTTTCTGTTGAGACAAGGGAGGCAGTGATGAGAACTATGAGCAGACAGCTTGACCTTGGCAGTCGGACTCCACAGCTTTGCTCTGTTGAGTGCAGAGAATGGTCTTAAGCTACTCACACAAGTGGTGCGATTGTCGAACGGACAGACAAGGAATCTGAATTATTTTCTACTTTTATCAGACCTTCCATGTGTACTACACCACGTCCTTTAGCTATTTGCTCTTAACAATGCCTCCCTGCACATGACCATCTGAGAAGACGTTTCCTTTTTTTTGCTTTTTTTATGCAAGGATGATTAGGCCATTATCACACTCTCTATTGATATACTTATCAATCCTCATGATACATGTTTTCTTGTTACTGCTAGTGCATACACATTGAAAATTATTACTATATCAGCAGCTTCAGGTGCAAGAGGGCACAACCGGATTCTATAACTATTTTGGAATAGCTTTTTCACTTCCTGTTAACTCGAGAACATTTAATCATATTTGATGGATTTTATCAGTGAGGAGATCAAACTGATCAAATCCTTGTTTTAACTTACAGTGTTTTTACTGCTGTGTATTCCCACTGTGACGACCCACTGCACCCTGCCTTCCTTTTGGCTCATGTGTGTCTTGTTTGCAGGCATTGAAGAGGCGGAGTTCCCATTTACAATCAGTGACACTGGCAACACCTGGGCCAGTGTGCCAGGACACTATACAAAAAGCCTTTAGGGCAAAGCCCTGCCCATCGTCTATCATGTCGGCCGGCCTTGTGGGATTTTGAACAGCTGTAGCTGCTTCTTGTTCTTCGATAAGCCAGGTCCGAGCCAGCTCCAATCAGCCAGAAAAGTTATCGTGGTTCCGAATTGGTAGATCCTCCATTGAGACTGTCAAATTCAAATTTTATTTGTCACATACACAGTCATACACAATACGATATGCAGTGAAATGCAACTGCTCGTGACCTAAAATAAAAGACTATGAATAGGATAGAAAATACATATGAAAATTAAAATGAAGGGTAAATTTAACTAGGAAAGAATAAAATAAAATATAAAAATTAAAGTTAAAAATAAAATAACTGTATAACAAAATACACAGTACACAAAATACACAATATAGAAAATATAAAAGAATATATGAAGAAATATAGAACATTAAGAGCAGCTGTACGAGTAATAAATGGTAATGTCCAGGGTTGTGCAATCCACATATTTAAGTGTCTTGTGCAGTGCAAATATGCTTAAAAGTGATTTATTTAAGTGAATGATTTGATTTGATGACCACGCAGTGTAGTTGTGCAGTGGCCACTAGTGTAAACAAATGTCCAGAATGTCCAGTGTGTGTGTAAGAACCATATGTGTGGGTCAGTACTGTGTGGTGGTGTGATTGAGAGACTGTATCGCCTGCGGGAAGAAGCTCCTCCTCAGTCTCTCTGTGTTGGTCTTCAGGGAGCGGAATCGCTTTCCTGACCTCAACAGAGAGAACAGTCTGTTGTTGGGATGGCTGAGGTCCTTCACAATCTTCCTGGCCTTGGTCCAGCACCGCCTGCTGTAGATTGAGTGCAGGTCAGGGAGCTCGGAGCGGATGGTGCGCTCAGTTGATCGCACAACCCTCTGTAGAGCTCGTCTGTCCTGCATGGTGCTGTTCCCGAACCAGGTTAAGATGTTCCCCGTCAGGATGCTCTCTATGGTGCACGAGTAAAAGTTCTTGAGCACCTTGGAGGGCAGTCGGAAGTCTCCCAAGTGTCTGAGGTGGTAGAGACGCTGTCGGGCCTTTTTCACCACAGTGTTGATGGATCTGCCCCTTTGACCAAGGTCAGAGCCACATCACCAGGCTCCTGATTGGTTGTCGTGGCGTGTTTTGACGCTGGAGTTCAGATTTTTCCAACTCAAGCGGTAGACGCGAAACACGCGTATGCACAAAATGCAACACAAAAACTGACGCACATGGTTTTATTCGCGAGCCAAATGCGCCAGACGTGTACACTGACGCCCGTTTCTCGCGTTTTCGTGATGCAAATCTGCTTCCAAATTTTCGCGGGACACGAAATCGCGTGTCATCGCGCTTTTTCCATTGACTTTACATGTAAACCTGACGCTCTGGCCGCCTCTATCGCGTTCGGTGTGAACACACGGTTAGAGTGCGGAAAACCTCTAAACCTCAGGCTTAAAATGACCAACAGTCTCCTTTAAAAAGGACATAGTCACAGGCTCAAACCTGTCAAGGACAGCAAAGCAGGAAGCAGAGACTGAGGGGTCATGAGCACAAGGCAAGATTTGAGCCCTTGTGGAGGAGACCTTCTCAATAAAAAAAATGTAAAAAATTTTCACAGGCTTCAGACGAGGGCTTGATACAGTCGATATGTGGTGCACTAAGAACAGAGTTAATAGTTAAAACACATGGGTTGTGACAATTTGACAGAATAATGTCAGATAAGTGTTTCTTTTGGCATCTTTTACAGTTTTTTGATATTGAAGCCAACAGTCCTTTAGCATCTCGAATGACACTTGTAGTTGGCTCAGATTTAGCTTTAGGCAGTTTGGTTTTTAATGGAGCGACAGTGTCCAAAGCAGTCCAACAGGTGGAATAAAACCATGAGCTCAGTTCCTCAGTCTGGCTGCATAAAAACTATGGGATTGTACAGTTCTGGTTAAAAACTGTTGAAAACCCAGGAGCAGCATGAGGTTTAACTGAGGTACAGGCAAGAGGAACTTCAAACATTACAGGACTGTGGTCAGAAAACACAGCATCACAAATCTCTACGTTAAAAACATAAAAACTATGAGTTAAAACAGGATCAAGTATGTGTCCACGTTCATGTGTGGGACCAGTCAAACATTGCACCAGATTAAAAGAATCAATTTAAAAAGCTCTTTGCCATGGGCATATCAGGACAACACACATGAATATTAAAATCCCCAACAATAAGAACACAATCATATTTTGGCATGTATTCAGCCAAGAAGTCATTCACAAAGTCCTTATTTTATTTTGGAGCAGCCCAGCTGAAACACAGACAGTTTAAAGCTGGTGAATGACGGTGTTGATAGCTGCTTACATTTAAAATGACTTTAAAAATCGTAGCTATTCCTCCTCCTTGGCCCAACGTACGCAGGGAATTAAAGTAGCAGCAATTGTTATTGATCTATAAGGAAGAATATTATTTTTCTGTATTTGATTCTTTTAGTAATTTAAATTATTTTAAATTATTTCATTTAATTTGTATCTATATATTAGCTTAAATTGAAATGGATAAATGAACAACTGTTTAGTGGAAATAGTTTTGGTGATTTGCAGTATTATATTGTGAAACTGACTCTAAAATTTGATTCATATATTTTACAATTTCAAAACTTAAATTTTTATATTTTAATGAGTGAAGAGGGAAAAAGCTATCAAAAGAATGTGAAATTAAACTAAATTATAATAAAACTGAGGAAATCTTTCATAGGTAACTTTCCAAGTCAAAGTTTTGTGAACAAAGGGCTATCTTATCACACTGCAGTTGCCCAGGAGATACACAGGAGAAGGAAGGGGGACTCCAAGCAGTTGACAATAGGCTGACAGTGGCAATTCTAAGTGGCCGTATGTGTATATAGTGTTTAGTTTTAGTTTAAAATGCATATCTCAGATTGTAATTTAGTGTTAGCTGAAGCTTGCAACCTGTAAGTAGTTTTTATCAAGCAGCTTAGTTTTAGGGCAAGTAAAGGACAAGAACAAGGTTTGAAAAACATTTTCATCTTACAAAAACACTTAAATCAAGGTTTATTGAACCGTATACAAAATGTAAATGTTTGCATGCATATACAAATTAGAAACAACAAAAAATAAAATTATAAACTAGTAGCTGAAGTAGAAGCTGATAGTAATGCTGGTGTATTATTATTCATGACACCCAAAGAAACCAATGTAATGCAGGAAAAAAATTCTGATTCTGAAATTGCAATAAAAAATATTGTGCTATATAAGGCTCAAAGATAAAACTGAAAAACATATCCATAAACTAATGGCTCTCATTTCAATGAACTAAGACTTAACACATGCAATTAAAACATTAGAATATACTATAAGATGCTAAAATGTGATGCAGAAATAAATCAATGTCTTCTTCTGATTATCCAAATCAGGCTTGCCAGGGATATAAGTTCTAGTTTAGTAAAAGCAATATTTATGTAATTAAACACAAAACAGGTTAACAACAACAACAATCTTTATTTATAGAGCACATTTAAAAACCAACGGCATGCCAAAGTGCTTAACATAAAACAAATTAACACAAGTATAATCAGAGTCATAAAAAAATAAAAGTGTAAAATTATGTTCACAGGAAAAAGCCACCAATAGAAAAATATAACTATAGCACATAACTATAGCACAATATAACTATGCCATCAAAACACAATGGCGATATGACATACACAGCGCAAATAAAAGCATGATAGGAAAATTAATAGAATAAATCACTGCAAACAAGGCCAGCATTTAACCGGTAGAAAAAGCAAGATTAAACAAATACGCTTTAAGCCGTGATTTAAAAGATTGAATAGAGTCAGACGCCCGGATGCCAATCGGAAGGTTGTTCCACAACTCTGGTGCAGCCAGAGCAAACGCTCGATCACCTCTAGACTTCAGCCGAGATCTAGGCTGCACCAACAGTAACTGTGAGGATGATCTTAAAGCCCTAGCAGGAACATATGAGCTTAGGAGTTCCTTAAGATAGCTCGGTGCTGTGTTATTAGTGATTTTAAAAGTAAACAGCAAAATTTTAAATTGGATACGGTATTTCACAGGCAACCAGTGCAAATCAGCTAGGACGGGAGTAATGTGGGAAAACTTCCTAGTTTTGGTTAGAATGCGTGCAGCAGCATTTTGGACTGTCTGTAATCTATGAAGGAGGGCAGAGTGGAGACCAAAATAGAGTGAATTGCAGTAATCCAGCCTCGAAGTTACAAAGGCATGGATGAGCTTTTCCAGGTCTTTATGTGGGATATACTGCCTGGCCTTAATTAATCAAAGCTGATTAATTTAAGTATTACAAAAATAATAATACCATTTTTATTTTTACCCAGCTACTGTTGTAACATTTCTTCATCTTGACCACCTTGAAGTTGATTATAATGTGTTGTCAAAGTCTCAAGATACTCTGAAACATCTAAAACAAAGTGATTTTATTAATAATACATACAGGATTCCTAGTACTCAACATGAAAGATTTACTTTATATTCTGTTTACCTGGGAGTGAGTAGGCAGCAGTCTTCAGTGAGAATTCAATGGCTTCCTTCATGATTTTCTCGAGCGTGAACAGCATGACTTTCTAATTTAACATAAGAGCATTTATTAGTTTTCACAGAGCCAAATTATGAGTTAAAAAAAAAGACTTGAATTACTGGTTACATGTTTGTTTAAAGTGAGAATTATTAAAGTGCTGAAAGTAGCCTTTTTCAGTTTAAACTCTTCTATTGGAGTCCTAATTGTAACGCCCAGTACAAATTTAACAGCCACCTCACTAATGTTTTAAAAAAACAACAAATAGAAGAACTTGGTTTACATTCTCCTTAGACGGGGCAATAGTACTGATTCTGATATATATGTATTACAGAAATATAAAAGAAGCCTTTATGTGAACGAAGAACATTTTGCAAGATAACCTTAGACTATGTTTTTTCTAATTTTCTATTTTGAACAAGTTTGATTCTTTTTTCAGTTTATGCTATTTGTATATGTACAGCACTTTGGGAACCCTGGTTTAATTTAAAGTGCTTTATAAATAAAGGTGGTATGGTATGTTATATAATGTGACAAACCTTCAATGCATCCATCTTCATCAACATGGTCTTTTTTGCCTCCTCATACATTTTCTTATTTGAGTACACATGTCTCTCAATAGTCTTCCTCATGTCTTCCAGTGCTCCATCTCCCTCAATTTTTTTTGCTTCTACAAGAAGACACAAGGTTTTGCAGCAAAAAAGAACCCAAAACTTTTTATGCATAATTGTGATGAATGCCTACATTCACAATAAATGCAAATGTGTCAACTTACCAATGTAACATTTTGTCATGTTTTCCTTAACTGTCTCTGTTAGACTGGTGTAGATTTTCTTCTTCTGCTTCAGGATGAATTTCTCCATTCGAGCCTTCATTTTGTCCTCCTTAGAAATAGGAAACATTGGTAAAAATGTATTTAAAAAAAACAAAACAAGAGATCAGGGTAATAGAGATGATTCTATTTTTTTCTCCAAAAGTTAATTAGAGCAGAACATACTAATATTTACACATTCTATTTTTTTGTGTAAATATTAATCTTGATGGTAATGGAATCATAAACATTTACAATTAGACAGTGTACCTGTGTCTGAAGAAATATCAGCTGTAGTTCGACATCATTGTATTTTTGAATCAGTGAATTGGTGCCAAGTGAAAACCTGCTTATGACTCCTTTGAATGATCCACATTTAATGTCATTTCTGAAAAATGTGTTTCAGAATAATAGTGTTGATGGCAGCATTGACAAGTGAATAATGTGTATAATGTATATGAGAGAGAGAGAAAGAGAGAGAGAAAAACACTTAATATGATAACACTTTATTATTTATTCTGTTTATTCTTACGGGAAGGTCTCTCTGAACTTTTTATCAATGCTGTCAGTCAGGCATGAAGCCAACATCATGTTGAGGTCTATTTGTTCCCCGTATTTTGTTGTGTGGATGCCGTCCCTCTTAACTACAGCCTGTAGTGTGCTGAAAAAACTGCGGTCTTTCTAAAACAAATCAGGAAAACATTTTTAAACGCATGCTCATAAAGAGTGCAAAATCTGCTGCTTTGATTTAATTATAATTAAGATACATACACGATACAAAAAGGTCTTCAGTTTTTTTTCAGAGGTTATGAAATTTTTAATCCCTTCTGCGAGACACTGTTCAAAGTCCTTGGTTGCTTCTTCAACTGCTGTTTTTACTGTATTAAGTTGTTCCCTCATGTTTTTCTCAAGGACTTTACATACATCATCTGCTTTTCCAACACCCTGAAATAAAAAACAAATATGTATATATATATATATATATATATATATATATATATATATATATATATATATATATATATATATATACACTTTTTTAATATATTTTTTATTTTACATATTTTTTTTAGGTGTCAGAGTTATGCAGACATTTCAAGTTATACATTTTGTCATTATTACACTGAATAAAAATATAAACGCAACACTTTTGTTTTTGCTCCCATTTTTCATGAGCTGAACTCAAACATCTGAAAATTGTTCTTTATACACAAAAGACCCATGATTCTCAAATATTGTTTTCAAATCTTTATAAATCTGTGTTAGTGAGCACTTTTCCTTTACCAAGATAATGCATCCCACCTCACAGGCGTGGTATATCAAGGGGCTGATTAGACAGCATGAATAATGTACAGGTGTGCCTTAGACTGCCAACAATAAAAGGCCACTCTAAAATGTGCACAGTTTTGCTTTATGGGGGGTTGGAGGGGCAGAAAACCAGTCAGTATGTGGTGTTGCCACCATTTGCCTCACGCAGGGCAACACATCTCCGTCGCATAGAGTTGATTAGGTTGTTGATCGTGGCCTGTGGAATTTTGGTCCACTCCTCTTCAATAGCCGTACGAAGCTGCTGAATATTGGCAGGAACTGGAACACGCTGTCGTATACGCCAATCCAGAGCATCCCAGAACATGCTCAATGGGTGACACGTCTGGTGAGTATGCGGGCCATGTGAGAACTGGGATGTTTTCAGCTTCCAGGAATTGTGTACAGATCCTTGCAATATGGGGCCGTGCGTTATCATGCTGCAACATAAGGTTTATGGTTGTGGATAAATGGCACAACAATGGGCCTCAGGATCTCATCACACTACCTCTGTGCATTCAAAATGCCATCAATAAAATGCACCTGTGTTTGTTGTCCATAGCATACGCCTGCCCATATCAGAACCCCACCGCCACCATTGGCCACTCGATCCACAACGTTGACATCAGCAAACCGCTCACCCACACGACGCCACACACGCTGGCTGTGTCCCAATTCAGGGTCTGCACGCTTGAAGTACGCATTTTAAGTGCGATTACGTCACCGCCACGCGACGACGGCTGTCCCAATTCGAAGTGTACTTCAAATGCATACTCCAAATGCGCCGTCGATTTCCCCAAACAAGTTTAATGTTGAGAAACCTAAAGGACCTAAAAATAAATGTTTGTTTCAGTTCTATGAAGCTTTGAGTAATTTGGATTAGTAGTACTGCTTTGTTTGTTGCATCATTTTGCTGGAATTGTTTATATGCTTTATATATTCTGAGGTAGGTTGATCTATAGTGTTACATCATATTCTATAAGGATGTTATGTGTTTGTATACTTTCTGCCCAGTTTGACCCATTTAGCAGAAGTTAGCCTGTTTAAGGCTCTGATATCTATTCTGTATGACTTAAAGCAGTTATGACATGGTCTGATTTTCTCACCCAATACAGGAATATTTAATATATCAGTCTACTCTTCATTCTATGATAATAATAATGGATTGGATTTATATAGCACTTTTCAAGGCACCCAAAGCGCTTTACAATACCACTATTCATTCACTCTCAGATTCACACACTGATGGAGGCAACTACGGTTGTAGCCACAGCTGCCCTGGGGCAGACTGACAGAAGCAAGGCTGCCATATCGCGCCATCGGCCCCTCTGGCCAACACCAGTAGGCTGTAGGGTAGAGTGTCTTGCCCAAGGACACAACGACCAGGACAGAGAGCCCGGGGATCGAACCGGCGACCTTCCGGTTACAGATACGCTTCCCTTATATATATATATATATATATATATATATATATATATATATACACACACACATATATAGCAGACGGACAAAATGGTGGTGGCTAACCAACCGGACATAGTGGTGGTAGACAAACAGAAGAAGATGGCCGTAGTGATCGATGTAGCAGTTCCGAATGACAGCAATATCAGGAAGAAGGAACACGAGAAGCTGGAGAAATACCAAGGGCTCAGAGAAGAGCTCGAGAGGATGTGGAGGGTGAAGGTAACGGTGGTCCCCGTGGTAATCGGAGCACTAGGTGCGGTGACTCCCAAGCTAGGCGAGTGGCTCCAGCAGATCCCGGGAACAACATCGGAGATCTCTGTCCAGAAGAGCGCAGTCCTGGGAACAGCTAAGATACTGCGCAGGACCCTCAAGCTCCCAGGCCTCTGGTAGAGGACCCGAGCTTGAAGGATAAACCGCCCGCAGGGGCGTGCTGGGTTTTTTTTTTTTATATATATACACACATATATATATATATATATATATGTGTATATGTGTATATATATATATGTGTGTATATATATATATACACATATATATATATATATAAAAAAAAAAACACCCAGCACGCCCCTGCGGGCGGTTTATCCTTCAAGCTCGGGTCCTCTACCAGAGGCCTGGGAGCTTGAGGGTCCTGCGCAGTATCTTAGCTGTTCCCAGGACTGCGCTCTTCTGGACAGAGATCTCCGATGTTGTTCCTGGGATCTGCTGGAGCCACTCGCCTAGCTTGGGAGTCACCGCACCTAGTGCTCCGATTACCACGGGGACCACCGTTACCTTCACCCTCCACATCCTCTCGAGCTCTTCTCTGAGCCCTTGGTATTTCTCCAGCTTCTCGTGTTCCTTCTTCCTGATATTGCTGTCATTCGGAACCGCTACATCGATCACTACGGCCATCTTCTTCTGTTTGTCTACCACCACTATGTCCGGTTGGTTAGCCACCACCATTTTGTCCGTCTGTATCTGGAAGTCCCACAGGATCTTAGCTCGGTCATTCTCCACCACCCTTGGGGGCATCTCCCATTTTGACCTCGGGACTTCCAGGTTATACTCGGCACAGATGTTCCTGTACACTATGCCGGCCACTTGGTTATGGCGTTCCATGTATGCCTTGCCTGCTAGCATCTTGCACCCTGCTGTTATGTGCTGGATTGTCTCTGGGGCATCTTTACACAGCCTGCACCTGGGGTCTTGCCTGGTGTGATAGACCCCAGCCTCTATGGATCTTGTGCTCAGAGCTTGTTCTTGTGCTGCCATGATTAGTGCCTCTGTGCTGTCTTTCAGTCCAGCTTTGTCCAGCCACTGGTAGGATTTCTGGATATCAGCCACCTCCTCTATCTGCCGGTGGTACATACCGTGCAGGGGCCTGTCCTTCCATGATGGTTCCTCGTCTCCCTCCTCTTTCTTGGGTTTCTGCTGCCTGAGGTATTCACTGAGCACTCGGTCAGTTGGGGCCATCTTCCTAATGTATTCTTGGATGTTCGTTGTCTCATCCTGGACTGTGGTGCTGACACTCACCAGTCCCCGGCCCCCTTCCTTCCGCTTAGCGTACAGCCTCAGGGTGCTGGATTTGGGGTGAAACCCTCCATGCATGGTAAGGAGCTTTCTTGTCTTTATGTCAGTGGCTTCTATCTCCTCCTTTGGCCAGCCTATTACCCCAGCAGGGTACCTGATCACGGGCAGGGCGTACGTGTTGATGGCCCGGATCTTGTTCTTACCATTCAGCTGACTCCTCAGGACTTGCCTGACCCTCTGCAGGTACTTGGTGGTTGCAGCTTTTCTAGCGGCCTCTTCATGGTTCCCATTCGCCTGTGGGATCCCCAAGTACTTGTAACTGTCCTCTATGTCTGCAATGTTGCCTTCTGGTAGTTCAATCCCCTCAGTTCTGACTACCTTCCCTCTCTTTGTTACCATCCGACTACACTTCTCCAGTCCGAACGACATTCCAATGTCATTGCTGTATAGCCTGGTAGTGTGGATCAGTGAATCGATGTCTCGTTCACTCTTGGCATACAGCTTGATGTCATCCATGTACAGGAGGTGGCTGACAACTGCTCCGTTCTGTAGTCGGTATCCGTAGCCAGTCTTGTTAATGATCTCACTGAGGGGGTTCAGGCCTATGCAGAACAGCAGTGGGGACAGAGCATCTCCTTGGTAGATCCCGCACTTGATGGTGACTTGTGCTATGGGCTTGGAGTTGGCCTCTAGTGTTGTACGCCACATCCCCATTGAGTTCCTGATGAAGGCTCTTAGGGTCCCATTGATCTTGTACAATTCTAGGCATTCCAGTATCCAGCTGTGGGGCATTGAGTCATAGGCCTTCTTGTAATCAATCCAGGCAGTGCACAGGTTGGTCAGTCTGGTCTTGCAGTCTCGGCTGATTGTTCTGTCTACCAGTAGCTGGTGTTTTGCGCCTCTGGTATTCTTGCCAATTCCTTTCTGTGTCCCGCTCATGTATTGACCCATGTGCCTGTTCATCTTAGCCGATATGATGCCTGACAGGAGCTTCCATGTAGTACTGAGGCAGGTTATTGGTCGGTAGTTGGAGGGGACCGGTCCCTTCTTGGGGTCCTTGGGGATCAGGACCGTCCGGCCTTCAGTTAGCCATTCCGGGTGTCTCTCGTTAACTAGCAGCTGGTTCATTTGTGCTGCCAGACGCTCGTGGAGTGCAGTCAGCTTCTTCAGCCAGTAGGCGTGAACCATGTCGGGCCCTGGTGCTGTCCAACTCTTCATACTGGAGACCCTTTCTTGGATATCTGCCACTGTGATGGTTACTGGACCCTGTTCAGGGAGGTCGCTGTGGTCAGCCCTCAGATCCTCTAGCCACTGAGCATTGCCGTTATGGGTTGCATCCTTCTCCCATATGCTCTTCCAGTATTGCTCCGTCTCCAGCCTTGGTGGTGCTGTTCTCTTATTGTTCCCTTGCCACTGAGAGTACACCTTTGCTGGTTCATTCTCCTGCCTTCTATCTCTCTGGTGTACCTCCTCAAGCGGCTGGCCAAGGCTGTGAGTCTTTGCTTGGCAGTTTCCAAGGCCTCAGGTATGGACAGCTTGCTGTATTTCTTAGGCACCTTATTTGTCGCACCTTTCTGCAACTCCGTTAGTTGGCTAACCTCCCTCCGTACTACTTTGATCTTGCCCTCTAGCCTCCTTTTCCATGGGGGGTACTGCCCCTTGTGGCTGTTCAACTTGTAGCCAAGCATCTCACTGATCACTGCTGCCGTATTGTAGATCAGCTTGTTGTCGGTAATCGTGGTTGTAGGTATTGCCCGTAGTGCTGCATTAACATCATCTAGCAGACCTTCTGAGGGAACTTCACGTAATCTTGGTAACCGGCTACGCGGGATCCAGGTTTCAAGCTTGGCCATGATCCTATTTTTCAGGTCAGTTCCTCTCGCACTCAACGATCCTTCTCCTATCGCACTTGGGGCTATGTACCCAATCTCGGGTGGGGGTGATGATATCTCCCCCCTGACCTGGCGTCCTGACTCCTCCTTGCCGTAGCATTTGTGTTGTACCTCGTCAATCTCTAGCTGTGAGAGCAGTCCCTTCTTTCGAATGTTGGAACACTGAGCTACTAGTTGTTTCGCCGTCATTGTGGATGTTGGGTATCGAAGAATCCATAGGTCCCTCATCCTATTCATGTAGCCCCTTCCGCCGGGGTTACTTGCATAGTAGCATTCCAACAACGCCCTGTTTTCGTCTCTTGCCCACCGATGCCTTCTTGTTCCAGTAGCCCACTTTTCGTCAGGGTGCCCTGGTTCCTCAACACCTGACGCGGACCTTGTTGATCCGGGCGACGTCCGAGCCGGCATGCCTTCATATTTATCTGTCTCGCTCATGTCTGCGGTAGGCTTGCTTAGCATAGGGGGTCTAGCCTTAGGACCCTTACTGGATACAGACGCCCCAGGCAGGAATCGAACTTGCGATCCTCTGTTCCAAAGGCGTGTAGTCTAACCACTACGCTATCCAGCTGCTATATATATATATATATATATATACACACACACACACACACACACATATATATGTACATATATATATTAGGGGTGCAACGATACACAAAATTCACGGTTCGGTTCGGTTCGATACTTTGGTGTCACGGTTCGATATTTTTTCGATACAAAATAAAATGTTCATGCCTTTTTAATTTGTCATTTATTAAAATTATAAATATATATTTTAACTCAAAAGTACAGTTTTTAAATTTAACCCTAACCCATGTGCGTGTTTTTTATTTTGACAGCGAATGCGCACCTGTGGACCACTTATGTGCAGCCCTGGTTATTTAGCTCGTCATATTGCAGCCACAGAAATTCTTTGTCCATGAAACCATAAAGCTGCACTTTCTTTTTGCCTTATAGTCTGATTTGTCATAACTTTTCCGTTTTGTGGTAAGCTTTTCTTTGGCTGTCACTTCTTCACCCTGACCTGTCTTATTTGGCTCAGCAGAACTAAAATATATATCCTGCTGCTTTTACACACGCACTCACATAAGCTCAGCGATTCTCTGCGCGATCAACCTCTCACATGTTTAAGCTTGCTGCGGGAGATTTCACTTGTCATGTTTGCATAGTAAGCTAACGATTAATAAGACGATGTCAGAGGAATTGGTGCACAAATTATCATCACTCACAGATCAGTGCTGTCGCTCTCTATACACAGTTCACGCGATTGCAAAGTGAAAGCAAAAAACAAGCGCAAATTCACCAATGCCAATGACATAATTACCCAGCTACATTTCCGAAAGAATGCAAAAGCATTGACATATATTTTTCCTTCCTACAATAGCCGGACGGGCAGGGCAAAGATAGATTTTGGTAGCCCGACTGGAAAAATCTCTAGCCCCAGGACGTCGGGCTAGCGATTTTGCGAGCCCTGTATCTGATTGAGGAATCCCTCATCTTTGGAAAAGAGAGTTTATTACAGAGAAACGTCTCTTTCCAAAATAAAAGCTATACTATCCGCTTCTTCTGGGCTATATTCTCAGGAGCATATTAAACATATCAGGTCCCCATAAGGAGAATCATGTGCTAACGGCTGTCTAAATGACTCGGGTAAAGTTTGTAGCATGCATGCTTGTTGTTTTTGTCTTTGCACTAGGATGATGTCGGCGTAAATGTGCAGTCATATTCGTTGTGTTCCCACTAGTGCTTTCAGGTTAACCTCGTTAAAATGACGTTAACGCCACAACACCGCAAATCTCCGTTAACGAGCTACCCCTGATAGCCCCGTGCATGGGGCTAGACAGCCAACACGTTAACGAGCTAACTGCGCTAACACACTAGCTCCCACCCATGTAATTGAGCATTGCTTGGCACATCCAACATACTGTTTTACTTTAGTCCATGACGCGCTTACCTCCAGGGTCATACGTCACATGAAAACCAAAATAATTCCAAACGCCAGATCTGAATGAGGGTGGGGGAGGTTCAATTTGCCATGTTGCAAGGAGAGCTTAACTTCTGTCTCGCTAGCTTGCCCTGCGCTCTTCCTTCTGACTATGCTGTCTGTGTGGAGCGCTCAGTGGATCTGCGCTCGACAGTGCAGCCTAGGCGGAGTAGTCGAACGCAGATTCACTGAGCGCTCCACACAGACAGCATCGTCAGAAGGAAAGTTGATAAAATAAATTACAAATGTTGTATTGTTCGATATCGATACGAATATCGTTGCACCCCTAATATATATATATATATATATATATATATATATATATATATATATCTCATAATAATCTGACAATACATATAATATTGATAATATTGGCCATATTATATTTACATTACCACAGTGAGATGATTTTAGTCTCATGAAAAACATTAGCTAATTGTTATTTACTAACTACTCTTGAAATGACTGTTCAGTACAGAAATGAAGCCCAACAATCATGTTTTACAGTCCTGTGGTCTCAGCCTCAGATACTCAACTAATCACAGTGATGTCATGACAAAAATGAATGACCAACAAAACATTTTTTCTCCTTCATTTCTGTCAAACAATGCTGTATGTAACGTTTCTCGCGGTTAGTATCATGGTTGCTAGGCAACCTGAACAGCGTGACGAAGGCTAGACCGTCCCATTTCACAAGCCTCTCACTTCCGCACTTCTCGTACTTATAGTACGCACCGTACGTAGTACGCGTAGTGCACGTACTTCAAGCGTGCGGTCTCTTAATTGGGACACAGCCCCTGTCTGCCATTTGCCCTAAACAGTGAAAACCGTGACTCATCTGTGAATAGAACACCTCTCCAACGTGCCAAACGCCATCAAATGTGAGTGTTTGCCCACTCAAGTCGGTTACAACGACAAACTGCAGTCAGGGCCAGACCCAGATGAGGACGACAAGCATGCAGATAAGCTTCCCTGAGACGGTTTCTGACAGTTTGTGCAGAAATTCTTTGGTTATGCAAACTGATTGTTGCTGCAGCTGCCTGGGTGGCTGGTCTCAGGCGACCCTGGAGGTGAACATGCTGGATGTTAAGGTCCTGAGCATGTGGGGTCACACGTGGTCTGTGGTTGTGAGGCCGGTTGGATGTACTGCCAAATTCTCTTAAACGCCTTTTGAGACGGCTTATGATAGAGAAATGAACATTCATTTCATGGGCAACAGCTCTGGCAGACATTCCTGCAGTCAGCATGCCAGTTGCACACTCCCTCAAAGGTTGCGACACCTGTGGCATCGTGCTGCTTGATCAAACTGCACATTTCATGGTCGCCTTTTATTGTGGGCAGTCTAAGGCACACCTGTGCAATATTCATGCTGTCTAATCAGCCCCTTGATATGCCGCACCTGTGAGGTGGGATGGATTATCTCGGCAAAGGAGAAGTGCTCACTAACACACGCAGACAGATTTGTGAACAATATTTGAGAATCATGGGTCTTTTGTGTATGTAGATAATTTTTCAGATGTTTGAGTTCAGCTCATGAAAAATGGGAGCAAAAACAAAAGTGTTGCGTTTATATTTTTGTTCAGTGTATATTTTCACACATACATAACTTGATTTTACCTCTTTTCTGCGCCTGGCTCCTTCAATCAAAGACAGAATCCCATAAGCTCCAGTCACATAGTTACATGTCTCAGAGTGACAATCATTGCAATTTTGCAAGAAGTCTTGAAGTTTGGCTATTTCTGTAAATAAAAGTAAATTGAATATTGAATTAGATACTTTGGTTTTAATCTTACAATCCATTTCTGATTTATGAGGAAAAATAAAACAACATATGCACCGAACAATATATTTTCTTTGAATCACAAAACATCTTGAGATTCTGACTGCCTACCATTGACATCTTCTTTTACACCTTTTCTTTTTAGGAACTCTTCAGCACTCACTGTGAACACTTTGAAGCAGTCCTCACTGAAGTGGTCCTGAAAAATAAAAGAAAGAGTTTTAATCTTAAAGAAGCTTTGGCTTGCCAAACAATTTTTGGAATGTTATAAAACTCACACTCAGACTCTCATTCAGTTCCCGGAATTCACTCGTCACTTCTTTCTTGGCTTCCTTGTTTTTTATATCTCTTAAATGGGCAGGAAGGGAAATAGGATCAACATATAGCTTAATCACATAGCAACATATCAAGAAAACAGCTGAGAGGTTTTGTTTTTGAGGATTTGCACATGGAGGGCAACATACCATGAAAAACTTTGAAAACCTTTACCACTTTCAACATGATCAACATTATTAAAGGACTGACCATTTCAGGCCCTGCCCTCCTGCTTTCTTTTTATGTTCTGATGGATCTTGCTTTCTATCCTGTAGATTTCTGTTTTCCTCATAATCTAACATCATACAGTGTAACAGCAGTCTGGCGAGGAAGGAGCGGCTAGCAGGTCCAGCGAGCATGTGGTGTGGAGGTTAGCCAGATAACTCGAAGCCAGTTGGTTAAATCAAACAACAGACCTTTATTCAGTGTCAGCAACATTACACCTTACGAGCCAGGTCTCCACGGCTGTACTCGTCCGTGCATACATGAATGGAGATCGGTATCGTACAACAGTACGGTTTTCTGAGAACAGAACACGAGCGGCATGTAATGGCTGCTGATAAAAACACACACCCACTAGGAGACTCCCACAACTATTATAATAGTAGGGCAACCCCCCCCAAGTGGTGCTATAACCCAATAAGGGTTGTTACAACAGCTCTGCCTCATCTGAACCTGCTCCACACAGAACAACTAGACTAGTACAGCAAAAAAGTCTGCTACAACAGATAGAGGTTAGTGTGAAGTAATTCAAATTAATTTGAAGTAATGTGAATTAACAATTATTTAATCTTATTGAAGTTTAATTAATTTGTCCTTGTATTAATTGGAAAAGTTAAAGGTAAAACCCAGATTTTATGTCTCAGTATTACCTAAAGATTGAATGTGCAATTAGAAAATTAAGTATTACAGTTTTTCTTTTGCGTAATTATCAAAGCAGAAAAGTAATTTTCACTACTGAACTCCCAACCCGTAGTTCTCAAATCAGTAACACACTTCCTCACTCACTTTTGACATTCTCATTGTTTTTTCTACACATACTTTACTACTAAAAATATTTGTCACTATGTTGATATTTCCTACTTAAATCTGACAGCTTATAAAAAGAGTTATTTTTCTTATATTTCGTGAATCTGTGCAAAATGTAGCCCCAGTTTCCTGTTTATAGCTAACAAGAGTTGTCTCAAATGTGGTCTTCTTTTGTTTTGTTATGTTTAGCGGGAAAATCCCAGTCCATCAACAACGCCTGAAATAATGACACCAGCCCATCTGACATCAACAACAGCGTAGTGTTCAATCATCTTTCTTTCTTATTCTAATGTTCAGTTTGAACTTTGCTTTTCTCAATTTAATAAATTTTGTACCATTACCAGAAGTTCCATGACTTTATTTTTTGTGTCTTTAAAGAGTAGTGAATGGTTTTTATGCAGTCATGGGTTTTTTTTTAAGCTATTTGGTCAAAGCTCACATACCTTATACTAAAAAACATGGTTCATTGATTGATTCATTATCATACAACTGTTAAATCTTAAGATAAAAAGTAATTACTGTAACAACTGTGTTGGGTTTAAAGAGCCTTTTAAAAAGTTGAAAATCCCTGCCCATGAAGTAACAACAAACACACATGTGACAGGGTGTGGCTCGAGGCTAAGATGCAGGGAAAGGGTGTAGCAGCCGATTGAGGGGGCAGGGAAGAGTGGATGTCACAGCTGGTTTGTATTAATTCCATCATGTGTCCTCTATTTGGAAGCATGCTGGGGCCCGGGCAAGAGAAGTTAAAGTGGACTGAGTAAGCTGTAAAGAGTGTGAGCACACCGAGAAGCTGAAAGGCCACACAACTGTTGCTGTACATAAAAGCACTGTGAATATGTAAGTTTTTTTTGTTTGTTTTAAAAAAAAGAAAAGCAGCTGGATAGTGCAGTGGTAAGTCTACTCACCTTTGGAGTGGGAATCGCAAGTTTGATTCCCACCTGGTATCCAGTAAGGGTCCTGGATAGACCCCCAATGCTAAAAAAAACAAGCCATAGAATGGCGTGGCTACGTCCGCAGCTTGGACACAAGCATTTCACTACATGTTGTACTCTCTATAATTGTGTATGTGATGGGAAGAACGGTGTTAATTTTTTCAGCAACAAGTAATCTAACTAATTACTATTTCTATCGGTACAACGCCGTTACCGTTATTAACAAGAAAATGCGCTTTACTATTTTTCAACAAACAGACAGTTGAAGCTGTCTTCAGCTTACCGCACCTTATATCATTTGCACGGAAGTAGCTGTCTGCGTAAGTAATCTGGGCGCTACAGTTTTAAGCAGTTGCGCGCGCTCCCGCGGACGGCAATCACTTTCTGCCAGACAATCACTTTTTGGCACCTAGAGCTAGGGGGCAAAACAATCTCGTGAGTGCTGCTGTTTGGCTGAGGAAGAATAAAGTAGTAGTGGTAAACCAATCACATGACCACTTCAAGATGCCAAAGTAACAAGGTGCTATATCACAGTTTTTAAATTGTGTTGATAGCCACGTAAAACCAGAGTCATGATAAACAATATATACGTGGTGTTTTTTCCTGAATACTTTCCTCATGTTTACTGTCCAAGGACAGCGCTAGCAAGCACTCTCTGCTTATGACCAAAAAATAAAACAAAACGAAAAACACCCATTTCGTGTTTGTGGAAAAATGTACAATGTCGACCAATTAAAAATGACATGGCAGCATGACATTTGGTTGTTTAGGAAGAGGGTGAGTTTTAGGAGTGACGGCGAGAGAGAGAAAGAGAAAGAAAGAGAGCTGAAAAAAAGAGAGCAAGTTTTGAGATGTGAGAGATTTGTGACGTTTAGCGTGTTTGGAGTGTGTAGTTAGTGTGTTGTCTTGTGTAGTTAGTGTGTAGTGTTGTGGATAGTTGTGTGTTAGAACAATGAGGTGACTGCTGAATGTTACAGGTGCTGCAAAAAAGGCAACAAAGGCAGATTGCAGTGTTAATGGTGTCTCCAGGTAGAAAAAAGGGGGAGTGATACATCTCCTCTTGTCAGACCTGCAGGTATCAGGCTTGTGATATTCTTCTTTATAGTGGACAGAAATTATTTTTGCAGTGGCCCAAATAATTTGTGTGGCATCTTCTTTAATGTAGAACACCTGATTGTTATGTAAATAGTTTGAAATGGTTATTTAAAAAAAAAAAAAAAAGGTAAATGGCTGCAAATTTGCAGCTAACTTGTGTCATGGTCCTGGGTCGGTGACCCAGTATTTTGAGTTTTGTGTCATTATTGAATTTTGATTTTGTCATAGTTTATCTTTTCTAGTCTTTCGGTTCCTGTGTTCCAGGGTCTGCTGTATTCCCTAGTCAAGTCTGCGTCTGTTATGTTTCCTGTTTTACTTTGGAAGTCTGTGTCCAATGTCAGTGTCTTTAGTTTCACTTCCCCTGTCCCGTCTTTAGGTTCATGTGTGTCAGCTGTGCTCCCATGTGTGACCACTTCCCTTGATCATCCCTTATGTGTATTTAGTCTCTGTGTTTCATTCAGTCTGTGTCGCGTCGTCTGTGTTCCATGCCCTATGTCATGTCAGGTTTCAAGTCTCTGTGCAGGTCATGGCTCATGATGCTTATTCTTATATTTCACAGTTCCCTCATGATCCGGCACAGTCTTGTTCATAGCCTCACTGTTATTAGTTTCTTCCCAGTTTAGGTTCCTGTTTAGTTGTTGTCCCTGTTCAGTTCTCGTTTAGTTTAGTTCATGTACTCCAGCCTCAAATAAAGGCTCTCCTTGTTTAAACATGCACCATGGTGTGGTCTTTCTTTGCTTGTGACTTCTTGATGTTGGTAAATACAATAATTGAAAAATACCACGTTACATATAATATATACATATAATAATGTACAACACATTATGGAGTATGCTTCTGCTGTGAGGTCTTGCCTCCATGCACGTATGCATTTAATCGCTAGACGGGTGTATTTATAAATAATATTATATTAGGGAAATTTTCCCAGACATATTTTGACCTGGGGGTAGAATTGATTGAGAAATGGAAACGGAAAATGCTTATGAACTTGCAAATTAAAAACATGATGCATTTAAGGTAACCCTTTTCCATTTTTATTTAAAAAGAGAATTTGTTCTAGTGTGCGATGGCCGAACCTGTTCCTTTTCGTGGAGATAATTTCTCCTGCCTTAAGGAAATTCCCTTCACATGGCACAGAAGAGGCTGGAGTGCAGAGAAACTGGTAGAGATGCAGTTATACAGTCTACCTGGGCCCCACAAACTATCAGCTAAAGAGAATAAATAAATTCAATTGCTGCACATTTGGCAGACTAACATTTTCAGATTAATTAAACAATAAAATATATATTTTACAACATTACATGTAAAGAATCAAGTGGAAGTTTTTCTAAAGTTATTTAATGATATTTATATTATGGAAGCAGATGTTTGACATTTTACCTTTTTCCCATTTTCAGATATAATAAACACGCACAAAACAAAAGCAAACAGCCAGAACACAAAGCTGGAAAACCCACCCGATTGACAAAAATCAACTCAAAATTCTCCCACACAAGAGAACCTCCTCTATTTCTCGCTGGCTCCAAATCTCTCAGTAGAATGATCAGTGGTTCGCTATCTGTCACCAGTGTTGGGGAGTAACGGAATACATGTACCGCCGTTACGTATTTAAAATACAAAATATGAGTAACTGTATTCCGTTACAGTTACCGTTTAAAAAGGTGGTATTCAGAATACAGTTACTTTGTTGAAATAAATGGATTACACTGCGGTACTTTCCTGTTTCATTTTGTCGCGGGTCAGGACTGTTTGGGTTTTGTTTGACAGCTACGTTCTGTTGTTCCAGGCGGCAGCGTTACGGTTGCCATGGTTACAGTGTGACGCTCTCTCTCTCTCTCTCTGCGACTGTGTGTTTCCTGGGTGAGAGAGCGCCTTTTCGTTGTTGTTGTTGTTGTGCTAAGCTAACAGGCAGAATGCTACAAGCATAGCTCTAAAGAATGTAGCATCATGGGCAGTGTAGTCCGTGCTGCAGGGAGAATGGACTGCCATACACGTTATGTGTCTGTGAGCGCGAGGAGGGAGAAAAGGGGGAGTGGAAAGGTACGAGTTGTCATCGAGGAAAAACGGGAGCTGGAAGCATGTAAATATAATAATAACCACTGCAGCCAAGAAGAGTGCCTGACGAGCCCAGTTGTAAGTAAGCTATTAAGACTCGACTGTACACCGTGTTCGTGTTTTCCTCCGAAAATAATAAGTTCCGTTGGAGCAGCATTTCAACGCCTCTCTCTGTCTCTCGCAAGAAAAGTTGACCCACACAACAAAGTAAAGCTATTTTTTGGCTACGAGCCGACAGGGACCCCGCCGTATTAGTCAGAGGTCCCTTTACTACAGTTCGGAGTCGCGGACCTTCAGTAATAGTAATAAATCACACAGCAATAGTACATTCACGTTGTTGTAAAAAGCATGATAATATATTAAGTAATCCAAAGTATTCAGAATACGTTACTCTCATTGAGTAACGTAACGGAATACGTTACAGAATACATTTTGGGGCATGTATTCTGTATTCTGTAATGGAATACATTTTAAAAGTAACCTTCCCAACACTGTCTGTCACCATCAAAACACTCCACAAATCCCGCGAATGATTCATCTGCTTATAAACCATTGAATCAGACACCGAAGCAGTTAGGTTCTAAATGAAGCTTCGGACGTCACTGATCACGTGACTCTGGCCAAACGAATCAAGCTTCGACACAGTGCTTCTGAAGCAGTGTGTTGATTTTTTTGACACACGCACCGGAGCTTCAGCTTCAAGCGGGCCATCACTACTCCACACGGTCAGCCACTGCGAACCGTTACAATTTGTGCATGGGATTTTAAGATTTACAATTTATATTTGTATTTAAGTTATGAAATATGATTCATTTAACATGTTTGTGGTTGTTACAGCATAAAATATGACTTTTTCTACTCAGATTTTATGTTTGGTTTTTTTTGTCTGATTTTTAGATCAGTTGTATTAATAGAGTATGTCAAAATGCAAACATAACTGTAAATTCAGATATGTGAGGCTGTACTGAAAAGAATGACACCAAACAAGGCAAAGTAAATAGTTTTTAATGGTGATATGTAAAGGTCAAATTAAAAGTAGTCGAAAATGGTCAATTATACCCGGGACCCCAGAAGGTTAAAATTTTTTTTAAAGTAATGCAATAGTTACTTTTCCCAGTAATTAATTACTTTTAGAAACTCAGTTACTAATTTGGTTACTTTTTGAAAAATAACTAGTAACTATAATTAATTACTTTTTCAAAGTAACTTGCCCAACACTGGTGACAAATAAAGGTTGTTTGTTTTGTTTTGTTTTTTTAAAAATACACCATTATTCGCTGTGAGTTGGGTACTGACTTCACAAAGAATTTTACCAGTACTGTGTTAGTGTTGAGAATATTATGTGTTTTTAGTAAATATCTGAATGCAACTATTAAATATTTCTCCAACAAGATTGATCAGTATGTGATTTTAAATTTTTTTTAAATTATGCACTTTGACATCTTAATTCACTTACCGATTGTCTGAAGGATCAGACTTGGTGCAGATAAAGTGAATTTGCTCACACTGACCACCATTTCCAATGAGGCCATGTGCACTTTTTAGAATCTCCCAGGCCTCATTCTCTGATGCTGCCCGAGTAATTTCAGCCACAATCCACACAGTAGAACAATCTCCAACAATCTGAAATAAATTATAGCACGTCAATTATAAATAATTAATACAAAAGATGTTAAAACAACACCAGAAAAACAACAAGAAGTTGATGTGAAAAATTACTTGTCTCCACATTTCGTTCCTGCTCTTGTTGCGATCGCCATTTCCAGGAAGGTCCACAAGTGTGACATGCTGGAGAAACTTATTGTTTGGCACCCTGACAGTCACACACTTTACTAGTGGCCAGTACCACTGCTGTGCTTTATATCCATCTTCCTGCTTTGGAACATACTTTGTATATTTAAAAAGTTCTTCAGATAGCTTTTCAGCCTGCAATAAACAAGATAAATAAGATTAATACATTTACAATTAAATCGGTAAATTTAAAAAAGAAACCCAAATTGTAGACTAAATTTTTATCTTGGGAAACATTTTAGATTTTTTTTAATGTTTAGATTTAAGGATGATCAAACTTAGGCACATATATGCACACAGCATCACAGACGCATTTGTTAATGCAGCTTCCCTAGTGTTTTATGTTTACAGCTAACAGACGCCCTGTTTGCAGACCTATAGTCTTGTGATATCCAATGCAAATTGTTAACTTATTTGCACGAGCAGTTGAAACTGTTCCTGTTATACCCTTAAACTTTTACATTCATACATTTCTATCATCATACAGGCCTGAGAATTACAGTAAAGTGACAGAGCGTTGTGGTAATGGCTCCTAGACTCTGGAGCTCTCACCCACTGAGACGTGTGATTTGCGTTAAAAAGCAGCTAAAAACTCAACTTTTAAATTTTGGTTTTGTGTAGCTTTCTCTCTTTATGCTGCCAGCACTTTGGTTCTGAACTACATTGTAATATTTATTTCAAAAGTTGTAAAAAGGCTTACTTTTTACTTAACATTACAAAAAGTTATTACTTATGAAAAATTGACATTCTTCTGGAGAAAAAGTATAGGATTGACATCAGTAGCTAGTATTGACCCCTTTAATCCTAAACTAGAGATGGTACGATACCACTTTTTTATGACCGATACCGATATCATAAATTTGGATATCTGCCGATACCGATATGAATCCGATATAGTGTTTTTTAATCAATAAAAATGTTTTTAATATCTTGTTGCATTTTGTATAAGTTCATACTCAAGTTTAAATAAACAACAACACTAAAGCTATTCTGTTATACCTGTATGTAAAAAAATACACTGCACCCAAAATATTTCATAGTTCAGCAATAGTGATCAATCTAATAAACTTAAACCTACACCATCCTTCCTATTCTGGTATTTTAAAGAGTACTTAGCAGAAAAATTAAGCAACCTAACTAATAGGGTTGCAAACTCCCAGCAAAAAAATAGGGAACCACCCTCCACCTCATGATGCTTAATCGAAGTAATCAACTTTAATTTGATGCAGTGTGAAAAAAAATGCACAGAATTAAATTATTTTCAAGAATAATTAAATAGATTCAACATCTTTCTTCAACAAAAATGCAGACTGCACAGATGGTATCTTCCCAAAGGAAAAGTAGTATAGCTTACTTGGTATATTAGACTTCACAGTTACTATATACAGTAATGAACTTCTATACATTTTCATCAGATTAAAACTTTGGTGTAAGATTCAGATAATTATTTATTAAAAGCTAGACATTTTAAATGAGAATAAGAAAGAAAAGTATGTCTTTGTGCCCCTTTTCCCTGTTCATGCCCTATCGGCCCCCCTGGCTAAACTTTGCTAGATCCGCCCTGCACAGTTACCAGCCGTCAGCTGCGTAGAAAAGGATCCTGGTGTAGAAAGTAATATTAAATAAATTCTAACAACAGCTTATCAAGGTTAAACGTGCTGCTGTTGTTCAGCCGCTGGTTTCCTTTTTCTGGCGCAATGGGCCAAAACAAAGAAGAGAAACGGGAGTCGCGACAGAAAAGCCGATCAGCTGATCATTGATCAGTTTCATGATGAAGTAGCAACAGGAGAGGGAGGAAAAGAGAAGAGGCAGTCCTCCATATATCGGTTGTTAAGCTTAACATGGAATGCTTTACAAACATTCAGAGATAAACTACACACTTGCTTTACTCTCGGGGATAACATCCTCTGAGATGAAATGCTGGTTGGTAGCGAGGCTACAATACACAAAGCCGCTCTATCACGTGACGCACACTGCTCTGACGTGCAACAATTATGAGGCGAGTTATGCCGTGTCGCAAGTTTGTGAGGTGCTTTTTTGATATTTAATGGATCGGATTACATTTTTGCCCTATGACAGCTGGGATAGGCTCCAGCGCCCCGCGACCCTGAAAAGGATAAGTGGAAGCGAATGGATGGATGGATGGATACATTTTTATTTCTCTCCGATATCCGATCCAGTAATTTACGTCAGTATCGCACCGATACCGATACGTATATCAATCGGTCCATCTCTACCCTAAACCCAGCAACTTATGTCTTTAAAATTATCCACCAATCTCTGACATTAACCTATTGAAGATTTAACTACTCTGTTTGCAAATATCTTTACAGCCATAAAATACTGATTATTTTCTCAGTTACTGTTACAGTTACTGTGGATTCAAATTTCAGTAGGATTCAATATTCACTAATAATAATAATAATAAGGCGGCACGGTGGTTGGCGCTGTTGCAAGAAGTCCTGAGTTCAATTCCACCATCAGGCCGGGGTCTTTCTGTGTGGAGTTGCATGTTTCTCCCCGTGTTTGCGTGGGTCCCTCCGGCTTCCTCCACCGCCAAAGACATGCAGCTTGTGGGATAGGTTAATTGGATAATCCAAATTGTCACTAGGTGTGAATGTGCGAATGAATGTGAGTGCGAATGTTGTCTGTCCCTGTGTGTTGGCCCTGCGACAGACTGGCGACCTGTCCAGGGTGACCCTGCTCTCGCCCTATGACAGCTGGGATGGGCTCCAGCGACACCCCCCCGCGACCCTGAAAAGGATAAGCGGAAGCGAATGGATGGATGGAATAATAATAATAATGGATTGCATTTATATATCGCTTTTCGAGACCGTCAAAGCGCTTTACAATCCCACTATTCATTCACTCTCACATTCACACACTGGTGGAGGCAGCTACAGTTGTAGCCACAGCTTCTTCGGGGCAGACTGACAGAAGCAAGGCTGCCATATCGCAAACTAAATGCTGTGGCCCCAGAAACGGAAAACACTAGGAAACGTGGAACACGAACCAGAACGATTGAATAGGGACATATGGAGAAATTTAAACCACATGGGACAAGGCGACAGTGGGCAGAGGAAAACACAGGGCTTAAATACACAAGGGAGTAACAAGGATTGAGACACAACAGGAGAGCACAGCTGGGAGTATTCAAACATGACGAGACAAAGGGAAGCATAACTCAAAACACTGAACACAGGACATGAGGCTATCAAAGTAAAACAGGAAACACAAGACAGGCATGGAGAAGCAGACTTGACAAGGAGGTATGGCTGACAGGGAAGACAAAGCAAACATAGAGCACAGAAACAAGAGTAACAAAACATGGAAAACAGGGAAAGAAAGGTAACAGAAACCTAAAGACTAAAACTAAGAATATATTTTAATGTGTCTGGGAAAGCTGACCAACACAGCTAATCTCCATCAACTAATCATGCATCTGGGGTGCCTTCAGCACACGAGGTAGAACCAGTTGTCCAATAATCATAAGGTTGGTGGCTAGATCCCTCTAACTTGGGGCAACATACGCCAAGTTAGAGCTATATACGAATCAATCTCTCCTATTTAAGTAGGATGCTGGGACCTGACAAGGGAGCTCAGCTGCAGGAGGCAGCTGGAAAATGTAAATAAACATCCACGTGCCTTGGGTCCTTTTTCCACATCTAGTTTTCAAACCAGTCAAAAGCAGCACTGAAGTTTGATAAGGCAAGAACAGATTTGTTTTAATATTTTGGTCTGTACATTCTACTTTCCTTTTATATTGTTTTTTTCTTATTTTTTAATAACAGAATAGGCTGTCTATAAATTATATCATATTATATCAATGCAAGCAAATTCCACTCATTGAAACAACAAACATGGAAAAAAAATGAAGTAATAGAATAGTATTTGAACTTACTGTGTCACAATGCAAAAATTTCCTCTTGGAATCTAAAAATTCTAGAATATTTTTGAAATACTTTTTTCCAAGAGGTTTTCAGGGGATTTGTCTTTCCATTCTTCTCCATACAGGGCTGACAGCTTTTTAACCATGTCCCGATAATCATCACCTTTCTTAAGAGTCTTCAGTGACCATAATTCATCATGCCACTCCTAAAAGACAAAAATCATTGCATTTTAGTTTTATAAATTGTAATGTAAAGCAAATACCTGCTGTATTTTTGTAAATACATATACTGTAGCTTTAAATAAAATATTTAATTCTCACCTCCTTCGTAATGAACTCAATTTCTGCCTCATACTTTGGGCTGCAAGTGTTAGCCTCCACCTTTATCATGACTGTGGTGCATGCACTGATTATTCCAGGGCCAAAGATTCTTTCATTAATGATGGTATTGATTAAAGAGCTCTTTCCAGCCCCAGTTTTCCAAAGACACCAACAAGCTCTCTCTTGTCGGTTTCCAAATCATTAATTTTGTTCCTGTTGTACAAGTGGGTTAATTTATTCAACCATGAAATGTGTTGCAAAATGAGGAAGACCCTTTCTGTGCCCAGATTGTTAAATAATAATTTAAAAGTCATTATATTATATATTATTATTATATTATACTTTTAAACGAACAGTAAGATGAGCTATGTACATATGTAATGTACATATGTACAGTATGTAAATGCTCACTGGAATTAGTTGGCTTGGTGGTTCATTCTTCTTGTGTGTTTAAAGTTTTACGATACAATATTTAACCTATTAATACTACAACAGTTTGGAATGAATGCTTTTGTTCTAATTATCTTTGTTCTAATAAAATCTGTATATGATTTTCTTTCACCATGATTGTTACTAAACTAAAATGTTTTTTACCCAGATGTTTATGTAACAGAATAAGGGAACGTTGATACTCACTTTAGGAAAGTACTTAGCTTGTCTTGGCCATGGAGACTGTTACTGACATCTTTCATGATGCCTTTCACTTCAGATAATATTCTTGTTTCTGTCACTGTGAGAGTAAAGAAGTGTTTAGCAGGCACCAGTTTAATGCACAATGTTATACACGATAATGAAAAACTGGACTATATCACTTATTAAAGGAGCAGTGCATGGCAGTAGGTTGATTACTTCATTTAAATATTATTTTTGTGTATGCCAGACACCAGCAAACCAATAAGAAAGTATTTTCTGTTTCTCTGGCAAAGTCAGACACATGCAATACAGCAAAAGATTCACTGCATAGAAGTTTTACCATACAGTGCAGTGAAACTGTCATTCTTTGGAAACAAATGTAAAAACCTGAGTCACGTTGTCTTTTAGTTGGTGATTGCCATTTGTTGGATTGCCCCTGAAGATCTGATTTTCTTTTTCCTTATTAGATTAGAAAACACAAAAGGTTAGGTTTTGTCTCTGTCAGTGGAGGTATTTGGTCAAAATCAAAGTGTTTCTGTCTTAAAAGATGAATATTATAAGTAATTCATATGTGACATCTGTCTCACCTTTTGAACTTGTGGATGGTGGAACCTGGAAATTAAAATGGACATTTAGTTTTTTTTTTTTAATGCAAAGAAATGAAAGCTCTTCACACAGGTATCATTTAACCGCATTTTTAAGAACATATGTCTGAACACATACTTCCGCAATCCACGCAGTGAAATGCAAATTTACTTTCTGTCTCATCTGGGATTAGAAATATTAACCCTTAAAAGCTAAATACAGAAAATGGACAATGTACATCAGCTGTATATGCATGAAGAATAAAGGCGTGTCTTGAAATTTAACATAATTCTGACCTGAACCAATTTTGTTGTTTCTTCATTCTCCTGTTTACAATAAAGATTAAACACACAGGTGCAAGATCATGTAAAATTTTGAGCAAACAGTGAAAGTATGACTCCTGGTAAAAAATCATAGCCAATCAGAAACTTCTTAACTTACCTGAGTGGAAAAATCGGTGTTTCTTGCCTTATGTTTGTTTACTCTAGCAAAAAGAAAATCCATAACTGTAAATGAGTGATACAATTCTAGAAAATGCTATTGTTGTCACAAAGATATAATCTCAAAAAGCTGATCGCAATTATTTATGAGGGCTAGAAGGATCACGTGAAATGAAGCATTTTGTGCTTTAATTAAATGTGCAGTTTATTATGGTTAGTAAATGTATTTGCAAATCCTTTTTTAAATTCTTTTATTTATTTAAACATTGCTAAACTCAAGTTTATAGAAAATTAAAAGGGTAATTGTAAATCCACACTTAACTGACTTATTAATTAATTAACAAATACTTAAAACTACAAGTGGATTTCACAAAATACAATTAAACCCTTTTTGAATTGAACCTTTTTTTGCCTCTAAAGAACACCTACCTGCCTGGTCTTCATGGTAATTATAAAATGTTCTCTAATAGTCATTGATTCATATGATCTGTTTCACAATGTCTATAGGTTTTACAGTTAAGCACCAAAAGTCACTACATGATTGAAGTACAAACTTCATGTCTCATTAATATATATTATACATTTATGCACACCTCACGCTTTTATTGAGCAAAAACAAACAGTTCATCTTATTTTTTATTTTAGTAGACAACGCCGACACTTTATAATAGACAGCCAGTTAGCTGTTTAAAAATTTTTTATGTGAATTTTAATTCAGAAATGAGTATGGCATTCTGAAATTGATGCATCCTCAGGTTTTATTGCTGTTAGAGTAGCAGGAAGTGGCATTTTCAAAAAAGTTGGAGGTTTTTTTAACAACATTTGCGCCTAAAAAAAAGTTAATTTTGTGTAATAGAAATAGCAATCCTTTTTTTTTACAGTTTAAAGTTATCTGCCATTGCTGCTTTGTGACTTTCGTATGAAATGCATTGTGGGACAATTGGCTGCACCAAGAAGTGTGGGTGCTTGTAC